CAGTTGTAAATGTGTTTAATTATTCTCAAACAATCTAACTGTCCAACACAAATTATCACCTGCACAATGAAAACACAAATTACCGTGAAATAAAAATTCCGGTGGAAATAATTAATTTCTCTCTGTTCATAACAGGCTAAAAATCATACACATTATAACTGATAAACACAATGAACTTGTTTAAAAACTTCTTTTTTGTGAAACATGAGATAACAGGTATGTAAGTTGCGGAAGTCCTGCCATTTTGAAACCCTTCACGGCTTGTTTATCATCCGTATTGCTTGTTTATATAAGTGTGAAGTCGTATCCAGCAAGTGTGGATGTGTTTGTTTGGAGATCTACAAACAAGGGGGTCTGGATGTCAATGAAACAACATGCTGTGCATTTGAAAATAAGTCTCTAACACTGTTTTGTAAATTTAAGTACTAAACAATTTTTGTTACTTTTAATAGATAATAATTGTCACAATTAATTATCATCCGTATGTACGCCTTAAAGATAAAATTCAAATTGTCTTAATATTTTAAGATACTTGCACACCTTTCCCCCGAAACGTTGATTAAATTAAAGTCTATTTTAAATAATTTTTAATAATCTGTTTCAGTATCTGATATTTAATTGGACCATCGAGCTCATAATCTTACAATGGAGACAGTATTAATTAATACCTTGCCCTTTATTATTATACCATGTATATATTGCGTTGTAAACAATTGAAAGTTCCGACTTTGAAAATACAGATGAGTAAACATAAGTAATAAATTAAAGAGTTTTCACCTGTTAGTAATTGTTTTTAAATTTAATGTACTCTTAACATTTTAATTGTCATGAAGGTTCCCGCTGAAGCATACGGACAGAGAAAAAATGCAAAGGTGACAACTTTTTTTTTTGTATGACCAACCACGAATTTACTTATCCTCGAAACTGTGATTTTTAGCTCTTCTGAGCCAAAGGCTCAAAGAGCTAATGCTGTGGCCATTTGTACGGTGTGCGTAAACTTTTTAGAATATGGGCCATAACTCAAGAACCCCTTGGCCAATTATTGTCAAATATGTCACAGGGTATCCTTGGCCCAAGGGCTCCATTTATACTAAAACTAGGGTTGTGACCCTTAAACAAGTGGAGATAATTAGGAAAATAGAAACAAAAGTACTGGTTGCTAAAAATTCTTCTTCTCAAGAACCACTGGACAGATTATCACCAAACTTACACAAAAGGATGAGGATATGTTGTAGATTAAAATTTGCACAGGTATTTACCCTAGAGCAAAGGGCGTGGTCTCAAGGTCACTTCAAAGTTGACCAAAAATTACATTTTATTAAAATGCTGATATTTTGCTTCCTATAAGGACTAGGATCATCAAATCTTGTCAGTTGATGCATCTAAGGACCTCATATCATGGTGACTCAAAAGTAGGTCACGGTGACCTACTTTTTAAATTTTGCAGCCATTCTTTTTCAAAATGATTTAGAGGCATATTTTGAACAATTTACGGCCTATGATCATCAAACTTTGTCAGTTGATGTATCTTGGGTCCTTGGATTATGTCAACTAAAAAGTAGGTCACCTTGACCTACTTTTTGAATTTTATGGCTAATATTTTTCAAAACAATTAAGGTCATTAATTCGAATACCGAGAGGTTTACAATCATTAAATCTTGTAAGATGATGTATCTTGGGGCCATAAAACATATTTATTAAAAAGTAGGTCACAATGACTTACTTTTTGAACTTTGCAGGCATTAGATTTCAAAGCATTTAAGAGGCATAATTTGGACATTTTAAGGCCTATGATCTTAAAACTTTGTAAGTTGATGCATCTTGGGTCCTCAAAAAATGTCAACTGAAAAGTAGGTCACCGTGACCTACTTTTCAATTTATATGACTATAATTAAATATTTCAGGTACCAATTGGCTTAGAATCATCAAACTTTGTCAGTTGATGCATCTTGGGTCCTCGGAGTACAACAACTGAAAAGTAGGTCACCATGACCTACTTTTGAAATTTTATGGCTTTAATTAAATATATCAGGTACTAATTGGCTTAGAATCATCAGACTTTGTCAGTTGATGCATCTTGGGTCCTTGGAGTACAACAACTGAAAAGTAGGTCACTTTGACCTACTTATAAAATTTTATGGTTATAATTTTAAAAAATATTTTAGGTATTAATTGGCTTAGAATCATCAAACTTTGTTGATGGGTCCTCAGAGAAGTAGGTCACCATGACCAACTCTCAGGTACTAATTGGCTTAGAATCATCTTGGGTTCTCAGAGTGTGAATTTGAATTTGAAGGGTTTATCTAAATATACAGAGGCTTCAAATAGAAGTGATAGGTTGTACAGTTTATCAGAAGAGTGATTCAAGGCCCTTGGGCCTCTTGTTTTTTCTTTGACATAAACTACCTAACGGTACTTATTTTCAAATGCTGGAATTTGTGGAATTTGCCACTGCTTGACCGTACAGAAACCATATCAAATGTATAATGTTTGAAGTATACTCATGCAATTCACAGTAAGAGAACAATTGGTACATGGGTTCATTTCTACATATTGCTTATATTGAGTTTTATACCTGTTACATTGTAATAATATATAAAATCATCAAAATAAGTATGTCAAGAAAGCATACAGTGAAAGAAAAGTTGAATGTTAAAATGATGTACAATAGTGCGACTCCCCAATGCGTTGTGTTTTCCCAGAAACAACTCCCCCCTACGTAACAATTACTTTCTGAAGAGAAAATGTCCTAATTATGAATTTTTATAGAGTCTAGTCAAGTTTTAATTCCTGCATTTAGAACATAAACATGTGCTTTTGCTGTTTTAACTGTTCAAAGCCTTATGCAAGTCGTAGATTGTGCAAATCATGCATGTTTTGACCACTGGATCGCCGTGAATATGAAATCTGTCAAATAGTTCGAAGTGTTTGAGAAATGACCAAGTCAAAGCTTAACAATTGCTATTTTCCATGAGATATTTGTTTTTTGTGAATACATCTTACAAATACCAAAAAAAGATGTGACCTACATGTCTTCTGACTCCAAAGTGGTGAAAATATACTACCCCATATGCTGAAAACGCCTCCTCCATACCTTTTAGTGACTCCCCTGCGATACCCGTTGCATACTGTGAATTCTCGTCTTTAAAGTTGCACCCTTAGATTTCTATCCCTCTGGGGGGTGTCACATAATTTATGTTCCAGGTAATTTAGCGTTCCAGCCAGACTGCTAAATACCTATAATATTGGTTCTGGGCTAATAATAAATAAATGTTCTGGCACACTTAAGTTTGGTTCCAGCCATAATATAAGTTCTGGGCATCCAAGCACCTTTTTAAAAACTTTATACACAATTACAGTAAAACTCGGTTATAACGAAGTCACTGGGACCTGTGAAATTACTTCACTATATCTGTAATTTGTTATATCCGTATATTCGTAAAATTTATTTAGCTGGGAATCCAAGAAAACTTTGCTATATCTGTGAATTCGCAATATCCGTTTGGTACTAAACGAGTTTTACTGTAATATTTATAAATGAGTTGGATTTTTTCTTTCTCTTATCGGGTTATACGATGCAGCAGGATTTAAACTAGGGATGTCAAAATATATATTTTCCTTAGTCGATTATTCATTTGCATTATTCGAACAATAGTCGAATGTTCAGAACATTTTCTGAAAATAAAATTTTATTTCAAACTTCACTGATACATGATGTATTAATAACTCAAAACCTTTTAACTAAATCTTTTTAAAAAGTAACATCAAAATCAATGCAACGTATCACATGATTACAATATGTATATGCAATAGGAAACCCAATTCTCTAAAATGTATGATTTCCCCATCAATCAAATTCATAATACATGTAGTCAGTTTTTATTTTAGTGAGTATTGCCGATATTTTTTAAAATTTAAAGGTTATTAGATTGCTTTGGCTATGAAAATGTCCTTAACAGTTTAAAATGTAAGCGAATTGTTTTAACAATTATCGAAGAGTCAAAACATGACACAGCTATGGTTTGTTCCTTTCATTTGAGCAATCTTATAACAACAAAAGATAATTGGTAAATGGTATAAGGTCAAGTCCAATTAATAATTTTACAAACAAAGCTGAGTATATTGGTGGGTTGTTTATTAGAAAAACGACAAAGGCAGTTACTGACAATTAATTCTCGCAGTAGTGAAGCACTTATAATTACTGTACTTTCTATACATACATGGAAAATCAATCGTTTTTTTGGTGAGGAAAATTATCTTATCGACTGTCTCTGAGAAAAGGCGGTTTCTCAATTTTGTGATGAGAATTTCATCACTCTTTTATTGCATTTATTTAATTTTAATAATATTCGAATGTTGTTTCATTATTTCGATCATCGGTCCATTCGACTGATAGTCGAATAGTTGACTATATTCATTGACATCCCTAATTTAAACGTGTATAAATTTAGAAGAAGTCCCAAAATAGTACAGTCTTAATACCAATGCAATAATCCATGGAATTACACATTATCATTCTGTTTCTTTTAAAAAAAAAAGAAAGAAAGAAAATGTGAAACTTGTTTACATAGAATTACCCATATACCCCATCGTGTTGTTTTACGACTCCCTTCTTTCAATACAATATGCAGTCATGCGAATCACATGTATGCCATTTCCGCAATTTTAAAAGAGTTTTAGGGGTGTGTTCCTGTTTTGCACACATTTGATAATTAGGTATAGAATAATAGGGGTGAAGCATGTTTTGATAGCAATTATAGTCTGATTTCCATCTGGAATAAAAACTGACAAAACAAAATTTGCAGGGTTTCTGCTGCACACTCAAATAAAACGGCAAATGATTAAAGCCAATTCAAGCACAATTTTTGACATGACCTAAACGATCACACAATTGGTTTGTCAACAGTAGCAATGCAGCCACTATAAATTCACTTTTTATTTCATCATATCTTCCTTTTTTTTTAAATGGAGCTGTAGAGATTGTATTATTGATTTTACAGTACCATCAGAAGTTGAAAAACTTAGAGCAGAAAAGAGAGGTGAAAACTTCTTGGAACTAGGTTGGTTTATGCCTAAAAGAGTAAATGGAAAACTAAAGGAGTTTAAAATTAAGTATCAAAAAGGTGAGTTCTAATTTTCAATACTATGAGGATTAATTTATGCAGCCAGACATTTAAGGAAACTGTAAAAGAAAAAAAATAACTTGTGAAAACCAACATTTTATCAAGAAAAAATAGAACAAATATTCAAATTTTCAAATAAGTCTCAACAACATTATAAGCTTGTGTGGAGCACTTTACAGAGATTATTCTACAGGGTGCATTACATTATACTGCTACATTTTCAAAATAGTCATTATCGCTACAAATAGTATACATTACTTTGAATCTACATTTTAAGCTCTACTGGTCAGAGACCAGAAGAGCTTATGCGATAGTAAGGTGTCCGTTCCATCTGTCTGTCTGTCCGTCTGTCTGTAAACAATTTTTCAAAATGCTACTCCTCCTACAGTTTTGTTCTGATTTCAATATAACTTGGCACACAAATAGACTACACTAAGATACATAGTTCTGTGAATCTGTTTTTGATTTGGATGAACGGTGTTGCCATGGTTACTAAGAATAGAAATTTCTGAGAAATACTTTCAAAATGCTACTCCTCCTATAGTTTTGGTCTGATTTCAATATATAACTTGGCACACAAGTAAACTACACTAACATACATAATTCTGTGTATCGGTTTTTGATTTCAATGAACGGTGTTGCCATGGTTTCTAAAAATAGAAATTTCTGTGAAATACTTTCAAAACGTTACTCCTCCTACAGTTTTGGTCTGATTTCAATATAACTTGGCACATAAGTAGACTACACTAAGATACATAGTTTTGTATATTGGTTTTTGATTTGGATGAATGGTGTTGCCATGGTTACTAAAAATAGAAATTTCTGTGAAATACTTTCAAAACGCTACTCCTCCTACAGTTTTGGTCTGATTTCAATATAACTTGGACACAAATAGATTACACTGAGATACGTAATTCTGTGTATCCATTTATTGATTTTGGTGAAGTGTTGCCATGATTACAAAAAATAGAAATTTCTTTGATATACTTTCAAAACATTACTTCACCTACATTTTGGTCTGATTTTAATATAACATGGCATTCAAGTAGACTACACTGAGATACATAATTGTCTTTGTTGTTTTTCGATTTTGATGAATGATGTTGTCATGGTAGCTAAAATCAGAATTTCTCTAAAACTCTTATAAAAGGCTAATCCTTCTACAGTTTTGGTCTGATTGTAATTCATCTTGCCATAAAAAGAGAGGAAAACAAGGATTGTTATTTATTAATTGCTGTTGCAAAGTTTCAAGTCTTAGTGCTACTTTTCTCTTAATTTGTTATAAGTACAAAGTAATAGAGCTACAGTCTCAACAGAGACTTCTGGTTAAGTATACATTTCTGCTATGTTGCAATCACTATTGAAATAATGACCACTGTTGAAATAATTATTGTAATATCAGTGGAGATTGCATTTCAAAACAAAAAAGAGTTTGCAACAATTACTGAAATAATGTTCACTACTGAAATGATTATTTCAAAAGTGGTTGAGAATGAATTTCAAAACCAAATCCAAATTGCCACCTTGAAAACAATGAAAAAAATGTCCACTATTGAAGTAATTATATGTTATTTCATTAGTGGGTAAAAATGCATTTCAAAGCCAAAAACAATGCTGAAACCACTATAAAATATCGTTCACTATTGAAATAATTATTTCAATAATGGATGTTATTTCAGTAGAAGCTACAATGTAGTATTGACTTTGAAATGCATTCTCACCAGTTATTGGAACAATTCTTTCAATGTTTGACCAGCATGGTAGCCCAGTGATAGGGTGCTCGCTTCGTGATCAGGAGCCCTGGGTTCAATTCTCATTCGCCGCACCATGATAAACCCAAGATGTAAAAATAGGTAGTGACTGTTCTTCCGCCAACCGCCCTAGAAGTGAAAGTCACGGGTCTTTTGGATGAGACCTTAAAAACCGAGGTCCTGTGTCTCGGTTAAATTGGCACGATAAAGAATGCTCACTGCCCTGAGTGCCGAGTATAGGTCTAAATTTGAAGCCCTTCATGGGCATACAGTGACATCTCTATGTGGGTGAAAAATTATCAAATGAAACATTAAACAATATACAATCAATAAAGGTTCTAATTTTCAAACTGGATGCAATGTAACATTATTTTAAAGAGTGGGTCCTGGCACTTTTTGTGTATTTTTAAAATGTTAATGATATATATTTATTGGGCAATTCTGAAAATATATAACATGTAAAAACAAGATGTTTATGGTGTTTTGTTAATTAAAAATAAGAAAATTGTAATCGGTGAAATCTTCGGCTCATTCCGTAAAACGCACCTCCAGAGATCGGATGTGACGTCGCATGAAGAACACTAGGAAAGATGGTGCGTAAATGTGTAGTTGGTGGATGCAGCAATACCAACAGTAATTCCTCTCTGTCAATCAGACGAAACTGTAAGGAAAAAGTGGGATAGATTTGTGTCATCCATTCAGAAGGACTGGAAGCGTGGCATGGATACGTCTGTCATTTGCAGTGACCGCTTCATAGCCCCATCAGATTTTGAGGGATACCAACAGTGGCGGAGTGGTTTCAAAAAAAAGTTAACACTCAGGCCCAGGGCTGTACCAACCATCCGTTCCCCCTCATTGTCAAAGCCTGAACACCACCGACGTGCTGTACAAAAGCTCAATATATCAGGGGTAAGTTTTAAAATGTTTTGTAAACAGATAAATATTCGCAAATATTCATGTCACTAGGACCTAGCTGCAGAATTGTAGCTCTCCAAAAAATAACATATTGACAGACCGGAGATCAGATCGGATTGACAGGTCTGGTCGTCCATCCCAATTTTTTCAGACCAGAGAGGTACAGATCTGCAGTTAACTAGGACCCTAATTAAGATGTCCACTTCCATGAATGGAAAATACATATGCTTTAAACAGGTCCACTACAATCTCTTGATTCAGCTATATAGCTTGAAATAGCTATATAGCTTTATTAAGCTATTCAAAATAGCTTGATTTAGCTATTTATATGCAGTTTTTCACAAAAATGTTTTTTGTAAGAAATAGACAAAAAGTCCCAAGTATTTGATTAATCATATATGTACTATAGGCTATTAAAACAACAAGCAAAACTAGATGCTGTCATGAGACAGTAATACCCACACTAAGGTGTTTGCCTCTAAATGCACACTCCTTCATATTGGGCTTACCAAGGAAAAGCCAAAATAATTCTATAATTTACACAGTACATGTATTGGTCAGATCAAGCAAAAATGCTCAGGTGACCATGTGACCTATGAGCCTCTTACAGGTATTTCCTTTACTTAATTCATTACCAGTCTGAAATAACAGAATTTAATTAACGATGTAAATTAGGTTTTGATAAAAGGGGGATATAAATTTTTGGCCCATAATTGAACTTTTTAAATTATTTTTCTCAACAACAAATAATATTATTTTAGTACAAAGCGTTTTTAATGAAATTATCAAAATGTGCAAACTTTTTTTTAGTATTTAATTAGGCTAAAACCCTCTTGAAAAGCCATACCCAATCAATTTTGCCCCCCCCCCCCCCACACACACACACACACAATTTGCCTGTTTTTGGAAATAGGCCTAGATGGCAAAGTTATGTTAAAGACATCGTTTGTTATGATAATTTAAAATTTGTTCTTGTACTGTACATGTATGTGAACACCTTTTTGAAAATTTCTTCATCACATTGGGCTTGCGTCACCCTACTAGTACTAGTTATACCATTATCATTTTTAGATTGCTCATGCATTCGGCAAACCTTGGCTGATTCCGTCACCTTCATCAAACGTTAGAACGTTAGATAAGGTATGAATCGGCCGAGGTGTGCCGAGTGATTGCACATGGTGCAGTGTGGTGAAAACATCATTACATGTATATCAGTAGGAATTAATTCATTTTGTGTTTTAATTGGATTATATTTCATGAAGTTGACAGGACCTATGACAGTCGGTAAGTACAAATTTAAGTATAGATTGGGGTAAAATAAACCAAAATGCAAATGGTTAGGTTAAAGTTTAAAAAGGATCAAAGATCATCGGATGCCACAGTAGATGAATTTCACATTCTGAAGAGTTATCTCCCGTTGTCGACATTACATTCAATTACATGCACAGATCCAGGAATTTTTTCAGGGAGGTCCACACCTCAGTCAAAAAAATTTCCAGTCCAGAATTTCCTGTGAACCAAAAAAAACAAAAACAAAAACAAACAAACAAAATAAAAACAATGATGGTGGGGTCCGTTTTTTATGGGGGGGCGTCCAGTCATTTTAAAAATTTGTATTTGCTTCTGTAAATCAGAATAATCATAGTCCTATTTAAATAACTCTGCAAAGAGGGGGGGGGGGGCAATCTCCCTAGCCGCTCCCTGTCCCTGAAATGACAAATGGCCATGTGACTCCAAAAAAGTAGAAAACTTTTCCATTTGACTATGCATAATTTTGTTTCTTGTGTTATTATGTTATGTATATCTAATGGTTTAAGGTTATGAACCCCTAGAGGTCATCCCCACTCTCTTAATGAACTGGAAATGTTCACAATATGACTACATCAAATTAAATAAAAAGTGCATCAATGATAAGATTGCTTGACATTTCATTCATGAATTTGGGTCAGCCCATGTACCCTCCTAGAATTAGGAATGAAAATCATTCAAAGAGATGGACCATTAAACTATATGTATATATTCACATTTTTTATGTCAAAACAAAGTATTAGTTTGCATACATGAACAAACAGGGGTCTGGGAAGGGCCGAGGGGAAGGAGTTATCTCATTACGTCTTAATTGTGGAAAACTCCTAAAATGAATGTTAACCTCTTATCCGACTTGTACGTCTTCATTATTTTTAAGTGGTGGTGTCTCCATATGAGTGAAAAATTCCCGAGAGGGACATTTACATGTAACAACAAACAAACAAATGACTTAAAAAACACAATATACATGTACATGTTTATTAGTCAACAGATATACTTCTGGTCATATCTCTAGTTCTCCCTTGA